ATCCTCAGCCCCCCACCCCTGCCCCTTCCTCATGGCTCCTGTCTGGCTCTGTGGCATCACCCACGTGTACTCCCCTCCCCGCCAGGCTCACCCCTCCTTTCCCCCCGGAAGGTGCGGCACGACTGGTTGAACCTGAGGGTGCCCGTCTGGGACCGCGACCTCCAGTTCCTGCCTGGCTCTGAGAAGATCGTCACCTGCACTGGGCACCGCCAGGTGGGAGCAGGGTGGTGGGAGGGAAATCGGGGTTGTGGAAGGAGTGGGGGTTGTAGGGACAGGTTTGGGGGCGGGGTGTTACTTTTAATAAGAGGAACTCTGTGGTCCATCCCCCACCTCCTGCCTGGGCAGCTGACCATGTGGGGAGGGCACCCTGACCCCTACTCTCCCTCCTAGGTGCGTGTCTACGACCCCAGCTCCCCACAGCGGCGCCCTGTGCTGGAGGTGACACATGGAGAACACCCGCTCACTGCCCTCTCCCTTGCCCCCGGGGCCAAGTGAGTGCCTGGGCCCCCAGACACCTGAGTTCTCCCCTGCTCCAGGAGAGGGGTGGGGGCTGGGGGTGAGAGCAGCGGGGTTAGGCGGCCCCTTGCTCACGCCTCATCTCCCTGCAGCTCGGTGGTGGTGGGCAGTGCCCGCGGGGACGTGGCCGTCATTGATCTGCGACAAGGTGAGCCCTGGTGGGGCTGCGGGTGCTGTCAGGGCTGTGGGGGTATCTCCCAGGCTTTGCTCCCTGGGGGTCTCAGGGCTGCTCGCCCACCCTTGCCCGCCTCCCCCCTTCCGCCAGGGCGGCTACTCAAGTGCCTGAAGGGCTTCGCGGGGGCTGTGCGCGGGGTCCAGTGCCACCCGACCCGGCCCCTTGTCGCCTCCTGTGGCCTCGACCGCTTCTTACGCCTGCACGGCCTGGACGACAAACGCCTGCAGCACAAGGTGAGCTGGGACCCCCCCAGCACCCTCCCGAAGCCCCCCAGCTGGCATCTGCCCTATGGCCCCCCAGCGCTGTTTGCTCCTTCCTCACTTGGTGCCCCCTTGGCTGCAGGTTTACTTGAAGTCTCGGCTGAATTGTCTGCTGCTGACCAGCCTGGAGGCTTGGGAGGTGAGTGGAGGAGGGCAGGGGCTGGTCGGGGGGAGGGTCCCAGGGACAGGACGGCGGGTAGAGTGGGTCCTGGATGGGGAGCGGGGAGGGGGCATCTGAGGTGAGGGGGGGCTGGGGACCCTTACTGCTTCTGGGATGGAGACTATCAGTCCCCGCAGGGACAAAGACCCCGACCCTGATGTCCATACCCCCTTTCCTTGCTCCCCTAGGACGAAGACCCCGACCCAGCCAAGGCGGAAGAAGTCAAGGAGGAAGAGGACGAGCTCTGGGCCCACATGGAGACTGTGCGCGTCCACCCTGCCCCCAAACGTGCTGCGGACCCAGGCCCGGGGGCGCCCCGGCCAGGCGCCAGGGCCCTGAAGAAGCAGAAGAGAGCCGGGGCGGGGCCCTGAGGGGGGGCTGCCCCTGCGGGGGATGACGGACTGGGCTGGGGCAGGGGCCCCCGTGCGGGGGGGGGGGCGGCCCCTTTTTTTGGGCGGTGCAGCAGAGCGAGGTAAAGGAGCTGAGCCTCTGCCCTGTGTCCTGGGGCTGTTTGGGGGGGCGGGTCCGGGCTTCCCCTGGGGCACCCCCGTGACGTCACAAAGCCCCGGGGGCGAGGCCAACCCTAGCGGGGGCTCCGGGCACCGCGGACCCATGGGCTGCCCTCAGTCCCATCCGCAGCGCCCCCCCGCGGCGGAGGCCAGGACCCCCTCAGC